CCCATCCAGGGACCCCCTCCCCAAGACTCTGCCCCCCCGGGGGACCCCCCCTCCCCGAGACTCCGCCCCCCGGCCTCTCTCACCCCCCCTCAGCGCAGCCGGCGGGCCTCCCGCTCCGACTCGAGCAGCGTCAGGACGTCCCCCTCGCGGACGGGGCCCTTCACGTTGCGGATGATGGAGCGGCTGGTGTCGTCCATGAACTCCACGCGCACCTGAGAGGGGGGGGGAAGAGAGGGAGAGAGAGAGGGGTCAGGACGACCGCCACCCCCGGGGACCCCCGGGGCCTCCTCCTCCGCCGCGGCCCACCTGCGTGCACTGCCCCTGCGAGCCGGTCCGGCCCAGCACTTTGGTCACGCGGGCCAGCTTGATGGGCTGCACGCGGCTCGTGTCCATGGCTGAGGCGGCGGCGGCGGCGGCGGCGGAAGAAGAACAAGAAGAGGAAGATCCCGGCGCTGGGCCCGCGCCTTTATATAGCCTCGGAGGGAACTCTCGCGAGAGGTCGGTCTTTTTTCCCGGCAGGCCCCGCGCGGGGGAGCTTTTTTTTTTCTCCAGGCCTTCTTTGCTCGCTCGGCCCCGCCCCTTGCCAAGAAGGCTCCGGGCTTGCCTTGCCGCGCACGGCCGCAGGGGGCGGCAGAGAGACGGGGCCCGGCTGGGAAGGCTGTGCGGAGGGTTTTATTCCGTCAGTCAAAGAACACACCTGGAAGGGACCCCGGAGGTCTTCTAGTCCAGCCCCCTGCTCAAGCAGGAGAGCCTGTGTCATTCCAGGCAAGTGGCTGACCAGGCTCTTCTTAAAAGCCTCCTCTTAATTTTTATGACTAGGAGGTTTTTTTTTATTAAATATTTATTAATAAGAAATCCATTTCATTTCATTTTTACAGGCACTCCACGGCCTTGGAGGTTTTGGTTTTATTTAGTTTATTGATTCACATTTTTTTTTTAATTTTATTTTATTTATTTATTTATTCACAGTGATTGCAGTGGCCCACGTGGGCCAGCTTCCTTGTAATGAACATAAACGAAAGAATGGAAATACGCACTTGCATTGCCTGTATTTATTTGCGTTCGTTGCAACGAACTCTGGGCAGTTTCCTTGCAAGTAATGGCATCAGAGTGAGTGGAGAATTCTGGGAAGTGGAGTCCTCCCATCTCACAATACTGGAGGTTGACAAATACTGGTATACATTTGGAAATTAAAAAAAAAATAACAACATTTAAAAAAAGAGAAAAAACCGGTATAAGAAAGAGTTTGTCCATTTGGCTACGCTTTCTCTCCTTTTATTTTTTTCGGCTACGCTTCCCTCCTGTGCCTTGGCAAGGGGGTTGGACTAGATGACCCCCAAGGTCCCTTCCAACTTTGCTCTTCTATTCTATTCTATTTATTCCATATTCTATTCTATTCTATTTATTCCACATTCTATTCTATTCTATTTATTCCATATTCTATTCTATTCTATAGTCTATTCTATTTTCTATTTATTCTATTTTATTCTATTCTTCACTTATTCTATTCTATTATATTCCTATTTCTATTCTATTCTATATTCTATTTCTATTCTAATTCTATTCCATTCTATTCTGTATTTCTATTCTATTCTATTCTATTCTATTGTTGCTCCTCTTCCCTCCTCCCAGCATGCACCGCGCGAGGCCCCTTCGACTCTTCCGCCCTTCTCCCCGACGTGCCGCGCGGCCCCGCCCATCGAGGGAGGGGGCTCGGCGTCCCTTTTCCCGGCGTGCCCCGCGCGGAGCGCAACCTTGAGCCAAGATGGCGTCGGCCACCGGCATCATACGCCTTATCCGCAACTTCTTGGCCGGGGTAAGGAAGGGCGAGCGGGCCGGGATCCCCGCCGCCACCGCTGCCTCCGCGAAGGCCCGAGGAACGCCTGCCCGGCCCCCGGCAGACATGTTCCCAACGACCCTGAGCGCGGGGCGGGGCCTCGCATCTTAACCCCGCCCTTTCCCCGCGCGAGGGCTTCTGGGGCCGGTAGTTTTCCCGCGGCAGTGGCCTTCCCGCTGGATCAGTAAAGCGGTCCTTCTCAACCTCAGCCGCTTTTAGCTGGCTGGACTTCAACTCCCAGAATTCCCCAGCCTGGGGAATTCCCTAAGGGGAGTGGCTAATTCTGGGAGTTGGAAGTTCACCTGTCTTAAAAAGTTTGAAAAAGACTAGTCTGAAATCTTCCAAAGAGGGTTTGGGATATTTATTTGCAAGATTTGTATCCTGTCCACTTCCACAAACTCCGGGCATGCGGGCTGGGGAATTCTGGGAGTTGAAGTCCGCAGTCTTAAAGGTTGAGAAACACAGGTGTAGAAGGCCTGGTGTAACTATTAATTGTAAAAAATGGAATGGAATGGAATATAGGATAGGATAGGACAGAACACAGAACAGGAAGAGAAGAGAAGATACAGAATAGAATAGAATAGAATAGAATAGAATAGAATAGAATAAGGAGAGAAGAGAAGAGAAGAGAATAGAGGAATAGAATAGAAGGAGGATAGGATAGGATAGAATAATTATAGAATAGAATAGAATAGAAAATATGGAATAGAATAGAATAGAAAATATGGAATGGAATAGAATAGAAAGCAGAGTAGAATAGAATAGAGAACAGAATAGAATAGAGAATAGAAGAGGTATTAGAATAGGAATAGGACTTTTACATTTCTAAATGGTGGATTGAGACCTGGGAAGCAGACTTTTAACTGAGAGAAACAGATTTATGCCTTTAAGGTCTGTATGTAATG